ATAAGCTTTCCATGTATTTGTATTGCTTCTGTAACATTTAATACCTTCTAGCATAATATGTAATTCAACATAATTCAATATGCTGTGTTCAGTAATTTACCCTGAGTACCTGGATCAGAACTCAGCACCCAGGAGGCACTGTGTAAATACTTGAAGGGATGGAGAAAGCCTGAAATGCACTGCATGTTCCTCGAAAGCCAGCTACTGGCTAAACGTCTTACACGACTGCCTCTATTAGACCTCAAAGCACAAGGAACTGCTTTCCTCCGTTAACAGGGAGGAACCTGAGAAGTTAAGTAGATTGTCTGAAGTCACATGCCTAACCGCTAGTGGGGGCCTGCTTGACTCAAAGACGATCCATAGCCCACTATAACGTCTAGAAGTGGACATGCAGACGATGGATACTAATCTGCGGCCAGTAGCAGAGGTCGGACAATAGATGTTCCCAAGGCAGTAGACTCCATTACCGACACATTTGGAAATCCTGTTAGAGTGGGAAATGGAGTGACTTTCAGGTCCTGCTCGTTCCGGGTTGTACTTAGAGGTCTCTCTTTTTTAGCACTGGCATCTTCTGGCTGAATTAGAACTAATTTGAATGTTGCCACGGTATGTCCAAGCTCTAGTAGTTTCGTTCTTTCAACCTTGTTGGTTTTTTGGACAGGATCTTGCTATGTAGTTCAGGCTGTCCTCAAATTCACAGTGAGTCTTCTGCCTCAGCCTCCTGAGTGCAGATGGCAGATGTGCGGCATCATGCCCAGTTCAACTCTGGTAGGTTCATAGGAGGTTGTCACGTGTGCACCTCCCGTGGGGATTAGCCCAGGTGACACGACTGTAGGAGAAGAGCAGTTAAAGTTGGGGTCCCCTGGGAAACATTCAGCTTTTTAACCCTCAAGCCAGGTCACTCAAAGTCTTTTTCATCTCTGAGTTAATTCTAAATAGCAGGTTAGAGTGTTTGGCATTCATGAACACCCTTTAGATTTTCTTTAGTGGAATTTCTTGGATTTTGTGTCCATCTATGTATTGTTCCCTGCTCTAAATATTTTTTCTTTTCTTCTTCTTCTTCTTTTTTTTTTTTTTTTTTTTTTGGTGGTGCTGGGGATCAAACTCATGACTTTGCACTTGCCAGGCAAGCACTTATGCCACTGAGCTAAATGCCCAGCCCCTCCCCGCTTCTTTTTGAAGAAAGTTTGTTTTGTAGTTCAGGTTCACCTCCAACTTACTATAAAGCTCAGCTCAGGCTGGCCTCGAACTTGCGATCTTCCACCTCAGCCTTCCAAGTGCTAGGATTACAGGTGTGCACCCCCATGCCTGGCTCTAAGTCTTGGTTTCTTTGGGTCTCAATGGCTTCTGCATGAGATGGGTAAATGAAAGGTAAGAACCATGCGAAAATAAACGTTGATGCTCCAAGAAAAATCTGATGGTGTTATGGCCGAGGGAAGTTGCTGGCTACAACCTGTCTTTGGGAACCAGAGGAGAGGATGGAGACTTCCACTGGATGAGGGTTCGGGTTAGTATTCTGTTCCTGAGGACAAGCCACTTAATAACCTTGGCTTTCACTTCTCTTATCTCTTAGATGAGGATGATCCTTTCTACTTCCCAGGGCTGTTGTAAAGACTCCATAGCATAGAAAGTGCCATGCTGAGTTACTTCATATGGGCTGAATTTTAAACATTAAATTTTTTCCATTACTGTGGAGGGTTAAGAGTTACACTCTAAATCCTTTCATCCATGGCTTTGAAAGTTATTAATTCCTCCTTACCAAGTATGAATAGATCATTCATTTTGTTATTTCCAACTTATTTACGTGGGGCCATCCAGAATTTCCACGCAGACTCACGAGAGCAGTGGCTCTGATCTTTGTCAGGCTGCAGAGGTCTCTGAGACGCCCTGTCTCCCCAGAAACTCTTCCATATGTAATTGTGCACACATTGATAGAGTGTGTCAGAGTTTGCACTTAGATAATCTCAAATCATCCAAAACTCTGTTGGAATCCACTCAGGAACAGAGGTTTCAAACCCTTGCAAAGGCAGCAAAGTGGTCATGAACGTTTCTCTGCTAAATCCTAAAGATGCCTGTTGATTATTAGTGTAAGAATGATCTTTTCACTCCAAGAAGTTTTGTGCTTTCTTTAGGGGTTTTTTTTTTCTCACTGTGACCAACAATAAAGGCATCTGGAGTAAGGCTTCCAGAATTTACTGTGTAACCCACTGCCCAGAACCTAGTCAGTAGCCAGCCTGTGCTGCAACCCCACTGACCCTGAGAAGCATTGTTCCCAGGACCTCGAAGGTCAGCCAGGCCCCAAGCGCACGTAACCCTCCATAGTTTCCACTTTAACATTGGACATCCAGCTACAAAGCAGAGGCTAGAAATAGACCAGGCCTACTTTTTACTAACTGAACCCCACAGAGGTGCTTTTCCAGCTCTGGGGGCCTCCATCAACAATGCTGCTCCCAACCCAAAGAGGAACTGTACTGTGCTGTGCTGTGCTATACTGTGCTGTACTGTAGTGTACGCCCTTTAGAGGGAAGAGGTCATTTCACTCTGAATATGCCTGCAGACACCCAGAAGCAATTTGGAATAAGATCTGGAACTGCTCAAAAAATATTACCAGCACCTGTTAGTTCTAGGTCTAAAAAAAGAAGATAAAATGCTTCCAGGATTAGGATGGCCTTCTTTGTCTTTTACATTGCATGATACAAAGGAAAACAGGCAGCATTTTCCTCCCGTCCTAGTTCTATCTCTGTGTTTCTGCCTAAAGCTTGAGTTGTTCAAACATAGCAGACACTAATAAATACCCACCTGCCTGCACAAATATACACATAGCAGCAAGAAACGAGCTGAAGTGTTGACACAGAAAAATGACTGCATTTTTCTAGTTTATTTCCCAGAGAAATTCAGTTATCTATGGTTTTTATAGGTAAAATGGCTAACTATTCAAAGATTACATATAGCAAATGTGTTCTGAATAAAATATATTTAAAAGATCAATTATTAATGTTGGAGGTAATATATCAGATTATGAATATATATGCATATCATATAAATTGCAGAATACTTTTAGAAATTTAAAATAAATTTAGCAAAAGAGCTGAAGAGATAAAGATAATTTAAAAATGCAAGCACGTAAAATTCTATAAATTCCTCCATACTGGGAAAACAAAATAAGCACATGAAAAGTTATGGTGAAAAAAAAAAAAGAAAAGTTATGGTGACAACTGCATGAAATACTCATCTTTTATAAACTGGCACACAGAGTCCAGGAAAACGTAATCCTCCTCTATTACCAGACAGCTGCTTTCCTAAATGAGGTTCTTGAACCTCTCCACGGAACATTTTTCAGGAGCATGAAACGAGGCTGGCGTGCACACAGTGTTCATTCCCCCCAACTTTTCCTTGGAAGACAATTCATTTGAAGCAAGCACTAAGAGAAACAAATATCCCCTCGGTGACAGTCTTTCCATACATGCAGCCAACATGAGAGCCTCACGAGTATCCTCTGGCAGAACACGGCCTCCGCCATCCAGAGTACAAAACAATCCTGTTCTGCTTGAAATGGGACTTCAGAGCCACGTGGCCTTCCAGGTAAGCCCAGCAGCCTCAGCTCTGCCAGGAGGCCCCTGCAGGTGACAGCTGTGGATCAGGCGCTGCTGAAACCCGACTGACATTTAGGAGCTTCTGCCCGACAGGCTTCTGCACGGCTATTCAGATAAACCACACTGCAACTTCCTCAGTAGCTCTCTAGATGCCTAGAGATAAATAAATGCTTGTTCCAGTTTCCCTGCCAGATATTTTGTCAACTCAGTTTTGGAAGACAAAATCATAACAAAAATGCCATTTTTGCCAGAAGAGCATTAGAAGCACCAGGTATATCAACTACACAGCCCAGAAATGTTGACTTTTTGAAATCAGCAGTTTACTCCGTGGGTTAGAGACGTTAGTGAAAATCCCCCTGAACCTTGTAGCAGTTTTTAAATGCTCATGAAATGTTTCCTGCTGAATAATGAACAAACAAACACTGTCTTGGGTTGAGAAAATAATGCCTCCCCAACTTTCGTCAGGCTGGACCAGCAGATGTGGAAAAGCCAGCTGCAAAGTCACAGGACAGGAAGGGCATTTCTCCCGGGGAAATTGCTGCTTGGCGGTGCCATGGTAACCACCTGCATCCTTCTGTGCCTGGCTACAGGTTCAGCGTGAAACTTTCTGTTCTGATATCCACCACTATCGGTGAGGTCACTGTTGGAAAATGCCTCAGCAAGATGGAAATGCTTCTCTCTTGTCTGGAGGAGCCTGCCACTTGTTGATGCAGAAAAGCAGTCTCCGTTCCAACCCCAGACCAAGCCCACCAGAGTAGTTTTAGACACAATTTGTCTCAATTCTGTTGTTAAAGAAATGAGACATGGCTTTGCCCTTCAGATCGGACAGACATCTAAACTCCACTCTTCCTAGAATCCTAAAGTAATTCTTGTCTCCCTCATTACCATGGGCCGATGGATCTAATTTTGTTACAATACTGGGTTGTTTCCATTGCTCTTGGACTGACTTAGACAAGGTTATGTTTTTCAATAAAATGCTCCAGGTAAAGAAAATATTTGCTGCTTGTCTAATAACTCAAAATTTTGAATACTATCTTTTGGATATTGAAAAACAATGGACACATCTCTGTGGTCTGGTAGTCTCCTGTGACCTGGGAATTGCAAATTCTCTGCAGGCTTCTCACCTACGAGGAAACATAAGAGCCAGGAAACCCAATGTGAGCGCTGAAGTGATATTTTCTAACTCTGCTGCTGCTGCTGCTGTAGTTGCCTGTGGCAAAGATCCCTGCTTCTAGAAATGTCGCCAGGGTAACTGCAAGGCTCATAACGACAAAGGCCTCGGGTTGCCCGGGACAGTCTCTCCCCACTCCTGTCTGGCTGTCCTATTTGAGGAGAAAGGAAGAGCCACTGGGGAGGGTCTCCAGAGCACCGGGCTCCTCCCGGGTGGGGAGGCCGCGCCTGACCTACCCGTGCGAGGAGTAGCCGTAGCCGTAGTCGTAGGCCGAGGCCGAGGCGGCCTTGCGCTGGACTTCAGCCCCGAAGGAGAAGTGCGAGGCCTGCTGCTGCGAGGAGGAGGCCACCCGGCTGGAGGCCTGGGACTCCTGGCGGTGGGCGGCCGAGGAGCGGCTGGTGTAGGCCGCAGAGCCGTGCGTGTAGATGGCGGAGCGCTGCTTCTCCTGCTGGTACTGGCTCATGGTGGTGCGCAGGTCCTTGTCACGGTAGCTGAGGTCGTAGTGCTGCTGGGACCTCTGATAAAAAGGCAGGGCCATCTCGTGCCTCTCAGGGAAGCGGGCAACCTGCAGGAAGACAGCGATTCTTGAGTGAACTGGGCAGTAAATTCCACCAAAAGTCTCCACGCCGACCTGTGAGACGTCGCACACTTATCTTTATGAGGGTAGGCGGGAAAGGGTGTGAAGTCAGTTTAGGTGGTCACCCAGTAAACTCCCACTGTGTCTCCTCCTGCCATGGAGCCTTCTTTTCTCCTTCGTATCTAGATGGGCTTGACAGATTGTCCCTAGCCTGGATAGCAGTGGCTTTTTACACTGACCCTCCCGTAACACTTATCTGTACTTTTCTGGCATTTCCTCCAGATGGGGGCTTCATAAACAATGATGGAGAGTAAGGTGGTATTCATTCAATAAGTAATTAATGAGCATCTACTGAACCCACAGAGGCTCTGCCTAAGAATCTGGTATAGAAAATAAGCAAAGCAGATCTATCAGACTGGCTTAAGCCCCATAAAGCAGGAAAGTGAGAAGGGTATAATTTTATTTTTTTAACTTTATTTTTAATAGTCTGTGCTTGCCATACATAATGGTGATATTCCTCATCGGGAGATGGCCCATGCACGTAACACATCTTAATTCTTTTTACCTCCCTTGTCCTTCTCTTCCCACCCCCTGCCTTTTTGCAAAAGATCTCTCTCCCTGTTCCACATTATCTAGCTTTTATTTGGACACAGGTTTCAACAGGCTCGTGGGGTGGGGTGGGGGGGCTTTGCTGGACTGTGGAATCTGAGCAGGAAAAGGTCCTGGGGAAGAGGGCTCCAGCAGGAAAGTCCAGGTGAAGGCCCCGAGCAAGAGCAGCTCAGGGAGGCTGCAGGGGCTGGGGTGGCCAAGAGATGTCAAGGGGTGGGGAGTGTGGGGCAGAGAGTACAGGGCCCTGGAGGCCACAGAAAGGACCTCGGCTTTTACCCTGAACGTGCCAAGAAGCCACTGCAAGAGCCTAAGGATCCCTTCTGCTGATGTCTGAAGGAGAAACTATTCAGAGACCCACAGGAAAGCCAGGAGATCCATCAGAAGGCTGTTATGGGATGAGTTATAGCTCCTGAAAATTCATACGCTTGGGGCCCAGCCCCTGCTACCTGAGAATGTGACTGATTTGGAGATGGGACCTAGAAAAGAAATTCAGATGAGGTCACTAGGAGGGTTCTAGTCCAATATGACTGACATCCACAGAAGAAAAAGAAATTGGGGCACATGTCAGGGAAGATTATGCAGGGGGTAACACAAGGTAAAGAGGGTCATCCACAGCCAAAGAGAGGCCTCAGAGAAAACCATCCTGATCCCGGATTTTGGCAAGGACGGAAACTGCTGTTGGCTAAGCTGTCTGGCCCTTGGAACTTTGTTGTGGTGGCCTTAGGGCGGCTCAATACATACACTGAGGCCACTGCAGTGGTCCAGGGGAGTGATGGCTAATTAGCAGACAAAGCTCCAGAGGCGTTCAGAGTGTGCACAAGACCTGAAGGCAGAACCAGCAGCATTGCTGAAAGTTCCAAAGATGAAAGACAGAACCCCAAGGCTCCTGTAACCGGAAGACTGAAGTTGCTATTAGCTGAGATGGGGAGCTTTGGGGCAGACAAACAGGAGATGGCTTAACTTGATCTGTGTTTGCGTCTCAGGACCAGGGGTTCTGTTTATTATGTACACCAGGCAAGCGTGAGCCAATGAGCTACTTTCTGCATTTGAGATGCTGGCTGGACCTCCAGATGGTGATGTTTAGTGGGGGCTGGATACCTGACTGGGGTACAGAGTCTAAAACGCATACCTGCATTTGGGAGACAGCGTGTAGATAGTGACAAAAGCCAAGGGAACAGGTGAGCACAATTATAAATGGAAAATTAAGTGCTAGGACTGAGTCCCGGAGTGCGGTGATGTTACATCCAAACTCTCTCAAGTTACAGGGGCGCTTCAGAGAGGCATAGTTTCAAACCAGAAAAAGAATTTGTCTGATTAGGAAGCTGAAGTCTTCCTGTCTTCCTACATAAAGAAGTAGGAGAGTGGGCGGCCCTCTGGGTGGCTGCTGGCTTTGTGAACCTGATGTGTCAGTTCTGAAAGGCAAAGATAAGTTTGCTTAGCATCGGGTTCTCGAATAATCTTCAAGGATGGGGCCTCAGTCCTACGGACAACCTAGAATGAGATCATGGTTTTCTTGAGGGCCCCACCCTGTTTTTAAAATGCTTTTGTTCATGTTCTGAAATGTCCTTTTAAAGTTTTATAAGAAAAAGTAGTTTTCAAGGTTTTTTTTTTTAACCCCAGCAAGCTCTGTTTTTCTTAAAATACTATTGAGGAGTAACTCCTTCTAAAATTATTATTTTATTTTTTTGTCAAATTTCAAACTTTCTTTTATTTAAACTATTTAAAAGGTCACTATTTATTCCCTAGAGAAGAAAATTCAGCAAACTTCACTCCAGAAATATTTATCGTAGGTCTCATGGATGATATCAGTCCACATGGCATTTCCTAAGAGGAAAAAAACAGCTGCTATCAAAGCCACTTTGCTCCATTCGTTAAACAGATTGCTATTTTCAGCTATTAAATATGGAATAATTATTGTTGCATAATGAATAGTTATATATGATAGTGCAAGAGTTGGACTATATAAATATAGAATTATGTGAAGCAGCTATAAAGATATTAGGTAAGCTCTATAATGATACATACCACATTATCCATGGAAAATGTTATTTGAATGACTTCCAAATAAATAATAAAGGAGTTTCCCTTGTATTATGTTAAAGGTGAATCACTACCCAGATGATTTGAAATGCTATAATTCTTGCAAAATAAAATCTTTAAATAGTTTGCCCCAATTATATTATCCATTCTAATTTTGCCCAGTACATCCATTCTTCATTTAATCTTCCATGCATGCAGATTGTTTACTACAAGTAAACAGGGTTTGACTTTAAACCCCAGCGCTGGCTGACCTCTGGACGGAAGGTGTAACTGCTCCCACTTCACCACGTAAGCAAGGATTACCCCCAACACATGACAGAGTTTGCTGGAAGGAAAGAGGATTTCATTGTCTTCTGTTTCTCTAAAGCCTACATTTGCTTTCTGAAAACAATCTGGGAATTTAGGAAGCATTCTACATCTGCAATCTTGAGGTAATACTTTTGTGGACGCAAGTTCAGGACAGCACAAAGCACTCTGCACCCACCCACTCTGTGCGGTCAGAGCAAAATCCCTGAATCACAGTCTGCTGACTGCAGAACTGCCCGGCCTCCTTTCGCTTACTTCGTAATTGAGTACAGCAGGCAGAGAGAGGAAAACACAGGCTTTCCTGTCCCTCAGCCACTGCAGATTGGAACCAGATTTCTGACCTGTGCCTTGGGAAGTACTCACACTTGCAGCTGAATCTAAGACAGACCTGGACTTATTGTTCTAGCAACAGCGACCTGATTTAAAAAGAATACGGTGATTTGAGAGAACAGCCTCCCAAGCCCAGGGCACCTGCAGGCCTGGCTTCCCTTCCAGGAGCTTCGCATTCATGTTTCTCTGCTCTTTTGACATCTCTGTGGGAAAACTGCTGAACCGGAGAATGGAAGGAGCAGGCGCTGCCTGGGCGCCTTTTCCTGCACCGGTCCACACTCACCAGCTTCCAGAGGACCCACGGTGGTGGAGATGTCAAGACGCAGCGAGGGGCTGGACGAGACAATGAAAACCCAGCTAGGCTGAATCCAAGGCAGAGTTAAGCAGCAGGGCAGAAGACAGGAGCCTGGGGGCCAGGTCAAAAATAAGGCATGTGGTCAGGCAGCAGAATGTCAGGCCTCACAGCCAGCCTTTTATGGCCAAGCAGGCGGATAAATATAGCAGCAGATGGGGAGGGGAGCCCCAGAAGAGGACAGGCGTAGGTAGGTAACGCGGTCCCGTCAATGCCAGGCAGTGCTCCGGCCTGATCAAGTCGAAGACAGGATTTGCATGGGGCTGTCGGAGCAATGCTCAGTGTCGCTCTATCACTAAGTATGCACAAGTGTGTGGGAAGAGCAATTTGTGTTGAGAGCTAAAAATAGGTGTAGTAATCTGATTCTCCAAGTGGACTTCATGGAATGCCAAGATAGGGCTCCGGGTGTGCTGTGAGCAACATGTGTAATGCCTTTCAAAGATACGATGTGAGAGAAAGGAGTCGAGGCTGGCTAGAGGCAGAACAAGAACTAGTTGTGTGTGGTGCTGGTTTTGGCCTACAACATACAAGTGACTGTTTCTCTCATTTCAGGGAAATTATAAAGCAGGTCTGCTCCTTAAGTAAATCCTTTTGAGAAGGATTTTGGGGGGAGGTTACTGAACTAAGGGCCTTTGTACTGAGCTATATCCCCAGCCTTTTTTAACTTCTTGAGACAGGGCCTCCCTAAATTGCTCAAGCAGGATTTGAAATTGTGATCCTCCTGCTTCAGCCTCCCAGAGTGCTGGAATTTTGACATGCACAATCAGACCTGGCTGGAAGTCAGCGTTTTATCTTCCCTAAACTCAGAGTAGGGTCAGTGTCACTAACACGAGAGCCTGTTTTTCAGATGGTGTAACCAACGAGGAGGTGTAGTCTGTAGTTAGAACCTCACCGTGGACTCAAGCGCCAGCCAGATTCTAGTCCATGGGTGCCCTCTCATAGTCATGTGACCTGAAGCAGATTCCCTCTCCTGCCTACACTTCAGTTTGTTTCTCTGAAAGAATGAGATAATAGTGTCCCAGGTACAGGACTGCTGTGGAAATTAACCGTAAGGATGAAGACAGAGCACTTAGCCAGAGACCATCACAACATAAAGGTTACTCACCGAAAGAGTTTTGCCCTAGAATAAAGCACAGGACATTATGGCAGTGGAGGGCCAAATTGGGGATGTTTACCTTGAGGTCACTTCCTCCTTCCCCTAATACAACTTCCTTTTTCCTTTCCCAGTGCACACAGAGAAAATTCCAGTCAGCTCCTCGTGCGCCATCAATGCCTGCCCTAAGCACCCCCCCCCAAAGTTACATATGCCCGTTCCCCACATCCAGGGTAACCCAGAGGAAAACCCAGGCCGCTCCCGGCTATGAACTCCTCACCGCATCCTTGGAATAAAGGCCACTTTTACTTCTATATTCTGCTCCTTTATTGTGCTGAAAAACTCTAACATTCACCAGGGGCCACTATTATTAGTAAAAGGAATAACAGAAGTTTGTTGTTCCCTTCTGGTGCTCTGTGCAAGGAGTGCTGCCCCACAAGACCAAGCGAGGCCAGGCCACCTACGACAGGAAAAAGCGGATGGGGCTCCTGCTGCTGCTCCTGAGGTTGCGCCTGAAGCTGTGAGGAAGTTCGCCTGCCTGGGCTGCCTGGCCCATGAGGTTGGGTGGAAGTGCCAGGAAGTGATAGCCACCTTGGAGGACAAGGAGGAGGAGAAAGCCAAGGTCCATTATCGCAAGAAGAGGCAGATTATGAAGCTATAGAAACAGGCTGAAAAGAAAGTGGAGAAGAAAATCAGCAAGTTCAGAGGCCCCTCAAGACCCACAGACTCCTGGTCTGAGCCCGGTAAAGACTGTTTAGGCCTCCAAAATAAATACATTTAAAAAATAAAATAAAATAAAATAAAATAAAATAAACTTAAAAATCAATTCATTGTTCAGAGTCAATGTAGTAAAGAGACTGATATTGCGATATGGGGGCATGTGTTCTGACAAGTGATCACCCTTAGATCTATCAAATATGGAACAGACTTTCTTTTCAAATATTCTGACCTTAAATTTGTTTTTAATTACTGCATAAAATGTACATGGTAAAGGGGTAGTGATGTTTCAATTTATTGCGCAGTGTTTAAATCACAATAAACATGTCTCCTCAAACACAATTCTTTTAGGATGAAAATATTCAAAATCCTCTCTAGCTGATTGAAATACAGTGATCATAATCATGGCTAGTCGTTCTGCTGAGGACAGAACTTCTTGCTCCTATCTAACTGTAACTTGGTACACTGGTCCCCCCTCCTCATCTCTCCCTTCCTGCTGCTCTCCTCAGCCTCCAGAAGTAAGTGCTGGACTTTCAATTTCTTTCTTTCTTTTTTTTTTTTTTTTGGTACCTGGGATTGAACTTGCAACCTTGCGTTTGCCAGGCAGGTGCTTAAACCACTGAGCTAAATCCCTGGCCCTGGACTTTCAATTTCTATCACATCAATTTTTTCTGGTTCCACACGTGAGTAAGATCATGCAACACACATGTTCCTGAGCCTGGCCTATTTCATTCGACAGAAGGATCTGCAGTTCCATCTGTGTTGTTGCAAATGACAGAATTCTGTATTTTTCATGGATTCTGTTGTGCATGTGTACATTTTCTGTACACGTGCATCACGTGAAGAGCACGCTGGTCACGTCCATCCTGAAGCAACTGTGGACAGTGCCGCAGTGGATGTCAGGGTGCAGTTGTCTTCCACACGCAGGTTTCCTTTCCTTTGGGTGGGCATTCAGTAGGGGGACTTCTATTTCTTCTATTTCTCACCTTTTAAGGAACTGCCACACTACTTTCCACAGTGGCTGTTCTAACTTACATTTTTGGTAACAGCGTGCAAGGGGTCTCGCTTCTTTACCTCCTCCTTGACACTCAGCATTGTCTTCTTGATAACAGCCATTCTTACTGGGGTGATACGATTACTTTCCTGACGACAGTGACAGTGAACAGTGCCGAGGACCTATCACACCCAGACACTGGGACAGGCATTTCATAAACACGACCCATGAGGGAAGTGACATTAGCTCAGTCAAACAGATAAAGGAATCAAGCCTTTGAGAGGCCAAGTCATTTGCAGAGATCAATCACCTGTGGTGACACAGATGCAGTTCTTTCAGAGATCTCTGGGCCCCCACGTCCACCTACTTGTTGTCATACCTGGTTGCAGCACCCAGTGACACCTTGCTGGTAAGAAATTAGACATGCGAAATGGCCTTCCAAGGGCAACACGGGTGTCCTCTGTAAACCCTCAGCCCCAGGGCGACCTCAAGCCATGGGAGAGTGTGTTCCACTTAGTTCCTCACTGCTCCGTACACGAGGGAATAAATAAAAGAAATATGCTTTTAAAAATGAAATACAAAGAAAACAAAATTAAATTTCAAATGTTAAGCAAGTTTTGCCTTAAGTTGCTCGTCTTAACTAGCAAATAAAATCTGTAACTACAATATGTAAAAATAAACACTTGCATTTACTCAGTTCAGTCCTTAAAGCATTTATTGAAAACCCACCAGCATTTTAGCTATGGTGCTATGCTCCGGGTATAGCGGTGACTAACTCACACCCTTGAAGTGGCATCTATACAGCTGAGAAGACAGTGGTTCCTTCAGGATAACTATGGTACCGTGGGATGGCAGAAGATGTGGTTAGCTCTTACATCTCTACAATGCAAAACCAGAACAGATCTCTCACCTTTAAAAGGTACAAACCAAAAGGACAAAATCCAGACTTGTGCTAGGTATGGGGAGGGCAAAAAAGAGTGTTAGGACCTATAATCATGAACTTCCAAAGTCTAACCAGTATTTCTCCAGTGCAGACACTTTCAACAGAAGCTTCAGTTGTTTAGACAGCTGTTTTGAAAGTTATAGTTCTAAGTTAACCATAGGATAGTTATGGACACAGGGGAGCTGAACTGTATCCTCCCACAGTTGCCTGTTACACACATACACGTGTGTGTGTGCACACACGTGAGTTAGAGGAGAGCGCCTGGCATCTATCTAGTCTTCTTGCTTATTGAGTGACTTTCAAAAGTCATATCACCTTTATGAAGCTCGATTTTTTTCAACTATATGAAATATTGAGGCTAGATGATCTCTAAGGTGATCCTAACTCTAATGACCTATACTATCAATCCAAAAATAGTATTCTACTCTTGCCTTGATAACAAGCTGATCAGAAACATCCTTTGTGGAGCAATTTGGGGAGGGTAGTAGATAAACCTTTGCTGCTTCAAAAGTCTGCATATAGTTGACAGCTCACCTCGGAAATGCTCCTTCCTAAGAAATACTTCAGAACTTGAATTCCTCCTATACTGAAAGTAATACAGAAAGGTGTTTCAATCCAATGTGTGTCTGTGTGTGTGTGTGGGGGGGGGGTACTAGGAACTGAACCAAGGGGTACTCCGTTGCTGAGCCACATGCCGAATCCTGATTATATTTTATTTTGAGACAGGGTCTTACTTGATTACCCAAAATGTCCTTGAACTTGAGGTGATCATTTCTCAAGCCTGAATATTACGAGGAGGGCATGATGGTGGAACAGATTAGAAGGCAGAGCCCATGCAACAGCTATTACTGTAATAAAGCGATCACTTTGTTGCCTCACAATGTAGAAGAATGAAACCACAGACATAAAGGAAGTTAAAGGAGAAGGATTATTGACAGTGTAAGACTAAAGAAAGCTCCTGGAAACTAGAAAGGTCCCAGACTGTAGGGTATCACGTGAGCTCTCTGCACAGACTCTAAGGGGAATCTGCCTGACCTCCAGTGGTCACCTCTTACAGGTGGTGTGGCTGTGTTTAAGATGACCAGTTGGGACTCATCCTTTCTAAACTCAGCGTGCAGAGTTTAAAGGAAACTACATTTAAAGGAAAATCGATTCTTTTGCATTTTTAAATTTCTTGAAACTCAACCCTGGGTGTAGGGAGGGGTTTCAGTCCATTCCACTGGAGGAACTGCTTTCCAAGGTATTTTTTTTTTGGTAAGGAGACCAAAGTCACACGTAGCAGGTAAGCACTTGAGCCACTGAGCTAACCCCCAGCCCCCAGGGCTGACCACCCTGCCTCCCTCTTAGGCCCTGTGTCCTGCTAGCTGCCTAAACTAACCCACGTCTTATACTAGGACTACTCTCAGAAGGTAAGTTTCCCCTGTTAAATGAATCAGCTGTAAACTAGAGGAACTAGATGTAGACGTAACATTAGAGCTCGTCAGCCTCACCTGTATTTGACAATGGTGAAATGAAGCCCATACAGTCCCTGCCTTGCATCAGG